AGACAGCGAATTCTACGATGGCCGAGTGGAAAACATGGATCACCGCTACCTTTACCTGGATGTACATTGGTACCCAAGACGCCTGGGCTGTATTTATAATCGTTCTGTACTTCTCCAAATACGGCAACATGAAACTGGGAAAACCGGATGAAAAACCTGAATTCAAAGACGCGACCTACTTCACCATGCTGTTTGCCGCTGGCATAGGGATCGGTTTATTCTACTTCGGAGTGGGTATGTTTACAGCAGTTATTATCGTAGTCAGTACTATTCTAGCAATAATTCCTCGTTCGACTTATTTCAAGAACCTCGATTTTGTAAAAAGGCGTGTGAGATGGAGCGAAACCGGTTGAACGGCTGGTGAGAAACATTAATATTTCTTGCTTATCAGAACGCTAGTTTTTTAGTCCTATAAAAAAAAATATGCGAAGGATATCAAAATCTCTACTGCGCCTTTGAAATATAAAATAAAATAAAAAAGGCGATTTCATAATAATATTTCCTCAGGATCCTCGGAGTGACATTTCGATTATTTCTTTCGCACATGCTCAGTAACCCTCACATCGAGTAAAACTACTTTCCTCGGGTTATAGTACAACTTCCCACATGTGGCAGTAAAATCCCAATGATGTCGTCACGCGTGATACCTGCCGCTCGACGCGTCAGAAGAATATAAACTATTAAAAGTATTGTTTACAGACCGCAGAAAAACCGCGCGCTATTTATACAACTGTACTCTTTGAGTGATTTTACGAGCCAACCACGTGGGAAAACTCTTTCAATGAACGGCTACTCTTATAAATCAAATATCTTACAACCTTAAAGTTGATAGAAATCACTTCAGTTGTACGGGATTCAGGGAATGATGTCATTTATGTTGTTAAGATCAGGGACCACTCAACTGCGCCTAACTGATAACGGCGAGCAATGATTTTCATAGAATTTACAAGCGGTTCTATTATATCGCTAACCAGCGATATCACGTATTCCGTCGCATGATAACCCAATAGAAACCAAAATATTAGCCATGTGACACTCCTTTCGTTTTCTCTGTTTGTTCTTGTTTTTTTATTTTTTTTTGTGGTTCATACCATCCATCTGTTTTGATTCTGTAAGATTCGTTGCGTATTTCGTTTTCGATAATATTCCATTTTACAGTAAAAGCACTTTTAAAATTCCCTGCCTAATGCCTGAAATCATTTATGATACTATTTACAATATCCAACTCGATTTAGGTCCAAAGAGCATTTTACTCAAAATAATAACTTAGCTTGAAGCAAGGTTATTAATGGCGCTTCATGAGACTGACTTCAATTTAAGAAAAGGAAATGCATTACGGTGAATAAATGAATAATCCACATGGCATGACACAACTGGAATTCATTCACATAAATGAATGAATCAATCAATGAATGGTTAACGTATATTTTTTCGCGCGCTTTACGAGTACAAAGTTCAAGTGGACCATTTACCCACGCTTTCAAATAGCATATCGCTGTGAATTTTAAGAATGTTCAAGAGCTTTGTTCACTGTTTTCAATATTGACTCCTTGTTCAATGAGATTATGAAATTTGCATAATTATACAGTATCGTAAGTAAGCCAGTGATCTGCCACTCAACCGCGAGAATAGTCAAATTTTATATTCTTACTGCTTACAACTCTATTCCTGCCTGTGCGGATTTGGACGGTTAACAATACGCAAAAATGTAACATTCTCACTTGAATTTCTAAAAGTGTACGGCAAAGAGAACTATTTTTGGTGTTTTCTGTGAACTTCAATTGTGTTTCTGACTTATGAGTTCACAAGCGTAACAATTCATATTGACTGATTTACAGGAATAATTTTTGGCATTCCAGTTCTTCCGAGTCAATACACGATGGACCAGTTAATTATGTGACAATTGATATTTTACCCTGACCAGTTCCCCTCATGCTAATGTGGCTATTCTTGTGTTACAGCTGAACCAGTATGGCACTACGCACCTGGTAAACATGGAAACCGCTATTGGGACAGGTATGTAGAGGATATTCACTAATATATATGTCAGCTATAGTGGCACAGAAATAACATTTGAGTTACTGTCTTAAGAATCTGCCTCTCACGTGTAAAAGATGAGTTACTTAAATTTTTTCCGACAGCTGTGTGGGCTATCTTGAAAATAAGGAACGGGAATGAAAGAACAGGAAACGGTGGAACAAGGAAATGGGGAAGGGGAATGGAGAATGAGGAATCTGTTAATCGGGAATCTTTAAAGTAAGGAATCTTTAAAACGGGGAATCTTAAAACGAGTAATAAAGCGAGAATCTCCAAAAGCAAGAATATCTAAAACTGGGAAATCTGAAGTGGGGAATTTTTTAAATGAGGAATCTTTAAATTAATCTTTAAAAGTGGGAATCTTTAAAACGGGGTATATAAAATAAGATTTATGAAGAGTTTAATACTCGGTCGAAACGTTCATCAATCAACTGAAACCACCTTTATTCGCGATTTGAAATTTGCTTTAATCAATCTAAAATATCAAATTATAAAATATCTTTGATACCTGTGCTTTCAACACTTGCTCTTGGTATCGTGCCCCAAAAATTACTTGCAAAGGCTCTCATGCAGAGTCGAAACAAATGAATTTTCAAGTATGCCAACATTAACTCATAGGTAATTAATCAATCTCAGTAAGAAATTCAATCATGTTGACCGTACATTAATAAGACTGGGAAAGGGCAAAACGTTGCCTGTCGCGTCATTATATTTTCCTTGCCGTTTTCCCGCCATCTAGAATAGCTTTGGGAGAATTTGGCTTTTTATAGGTTGTTGTACTTTGCTTGATGCAGTGGACATATTTTTTCCTATGATTTTTTCGGGTGAATGGTAATGTATGAAAATACCGGTCACACAATTGACAATAAATTCAAACTAATCGAAATCAGAAACAAAAAGAATAAACACTAACATTAGACATAGAGGATCTTTTAACTCTACATTCTCCCAACTGTTGAATGTCATTGAACCTGTGCACGGGTTCCTTTGTACTCACGTGAATTTTCTGCATGTTACTTCCCAGAATATTATAAATTGCATCATATATTCCCACTTATTTTTAATCAGTAATTTGCAGCACTACCTGTCACCATCTCTGAGTCGTAGGTCTAAAGTACTATTGACGATATCAACTGAACTTGCGATGAGGCGTTCTTTTTTTGCCTTCTTTGCTTACCTTACGTCAACACTGATGTTATCATGTGTCATACTATAAATGTGGGCCAACTCGATTTTATCGGAAATTCATGCGGCTGTTGGAGGCGCATAGGCGACAGAGCGCAGTTTACATGTTTACTTTCTAGTGAAAAAAAGGTGAAATGCCTACGCTTAATCCGTCAATGTTTTACGACTGATCAGACAAAAGGCCAGATTCTGGACTACGGGCACACGACTCGTGTGGTAATTGTATTAAGCGTTCTTTTTTTCCCTTCCTCCGGTTGCCCAAAAAAGGAACGCCGCAAGTTATTATGGACTAATATTGACTTCACAAAACGGAAAACGCTGTAGATCAGACTATTCAATCATAATTACTGACTTATCATTCAGATCAATCAAAAAAATAAATGTCGAGTGCCACTGCTATCCGCCAAAACAGAATTGTAACGTCGAGCAAACTTCAACCTTGAGGCGGGATTTCCACTGTCGCGTAGTTTTACTTGTGTCGACAGACCTGAATTTTAAAGCGTAAAATAGGAAAAAAAGAGCAACTTTTCCACAGATCGATCATAAATTTTGTCGATTTCATTCCACGCTTTAAAAGATTCTCCGTTTTAAGGATTCCCCCTTTTAAAGATTCCCGCCTTTAAGATTGCCCATTTTGAAGAGATTGCCCATTTTGAAGAGATTGCCCATTTTGAAG